TCATGCATGTTTAGTCTGAGTTCAAACATTGATTGGGCTAGTTAGTAGTACTCTAGCATTCTGCTTCACTACTCTGAACTACGTGAATGAGGTCACTCCTATCAGGTCAGCATTTGTATCAAAGTCTTCCCTGTGCTATTCAGCACCTTTTTTTGTATGTATGAGAATGCACATTGTCTGTCGAGATTTTACTCGCACTGTATTGTCCATTCGGTCCTTTTCATCACATTGCAGTTCCTCGGTTATTGCGTACATTGCATATCTGTGCATGTAACAGTTTGTGTTGCCCTTTGAAAATCCATTATGAGTCTGGATGTTCCGCCATAGCCATGGATGCTACGACGGAGAGAGAAGAGAGGCTTGGGCTGAAAGCTGGTTTAGTGACGAGTCTGGATGTTCCTCCATATCCATAGATGCTACAAAAGAGAGAGAAGTGAGGTTAGGGCTGAAAGGTGGTTTGTTGAGTTGCTGGAAGTAAGGGGGAACACTCTAACATGATTCTCGTTCAATCATTCATTTGTCATTATGTTTAATTGATCAATAAGAGGAGGAAGAGTAAAGAAGACGAAGAGGGATGAGGGAGAACAAGGAGGGAGAAGACATTGGTGTAACTTGTGTAAGTCTACTTCTTCTTTGATTCTTTGATTCTTTGTTCTCTATTCTACTCTTTTTATCTCTCTCCATCTCTTCTTCTGGAGTTCAGCAAGTCTTGCATTTCTCGCAATTTGAGTTTTCCGCTATGGATGAAGTAGGAGCATAACAATACAGTGCTGAGTGGTCAAAAAGCCATCTCAGAAATGCATGAGAGTATGACCCATTGAAAAAAGGAGGAAAAACTTTCATCATAGGGCACCACCATGCGAAAGCAAACTCTTGAGCCGAAAGTTGATGGACATGTGTCATGCAGACGAAGTGACATCACGGACAACGTGCTATTATGGAATTCAAAAAACGTGTCACACATGGAATCGAGAATTGGAAAACTGATGGTAACGCTAGATATCAAACGTGTACTTATCGAGTCCCAGCACATATGAGAAATATGCCGATGATTGATCCTGATATCAGCAAATGTTTTGATGTCAATGAGATTCGTGGATGGGGGATTCCGAATTGGGTTCTCCGAAGTTCAGAAACTGAAGGTTAAAGTTCATACTATCACCCCTGGACCGGAATCCAGGTGAGACGTACGTGGTATGTGCAAAAACATGGTGGGAGAAAACGTGTGCTTTCTTCTTCGAGTCAGTGCATTATGAGGTGTGCCAGCAATCGAAACAGTTAGTATTGGCGCAAGCCAAGCGCACATATGAAACTATCGGATCTCTATTTTGGCATGTACAGCAACTACTGGAAAGTTCTATGCGCGGCCCTATGATACAAAAGCAAATGGGACGCAGTACCACGGAACGAGGCAGGACTGCTGATGCCCGTAAATCCTTTCAGAAACAAATTGTGGGCCAATTATCCTATAAACTGTAATAGACATAATGATCTCAAATTCTTCAGCAAATAGGCTAGAAGGATTAATTGAGCCAGTAATTCACCCAAGCCAAACTAGCTTCATCGAAGGAAGGAATATCGACGATAGGATTGTGCTAATCGGCGGGGTCGTCGGGACCGTGAGACAAGACAGGGCAAACACAGAAATGCTACAATCATGTGGACTGAGGATTCGTAGATTGCTACCTTGAAGGATCAAATTTTAGGAGATGGGTCTCAATCCTGCACCAAAATGCCTCCACCAGAATCCAAATCACTGGGTTCCTAGCCCCAGAGATAGGCCTACAAAGATTAGCAAGTCAAAAGGACCCTTTGGCCCCATACCTTGTCATAGTCATCATGGAGGCCCTAAGAGTCAATCTCAAGAAGAACACGAAATTGGCGAAAATAAGGGTCACTGTTCAAGTAGAAAATAAGCACATTATGCAAGGCTCTACTTTCGTGGAGGATACCATGTGCAACGGAGAGCTAGGGCGATACGAGATCGTCCCAGCATCACCCTTCTGCTTCCCCTGAGGAGGCTATCCCAGTTTTTTCCCTTTTTGCAGATGCTGTTTCATCGATTATTGATGCTTCCCATAATAATTTGAGAAAAAATAAAAGAATGGGTTTTGCCTTCTTTTGAGGACATGGCAACAAACAGAGGAAATAAGACCCTGGGTTAGTGCATCAATCATCAAGGAGTAAGACCCCCTGAACTTCCTAGTATGAAATGGCTCCCCTTGGAAGAGCCAACCCGGGCTCTCGGGGTAAAATTGGCAACATACAGCAAGCCCATAGACAACGACAATTAGTGCCGCCCTTGGAATAATAGGCATACGGTCCTCCCTCCCGTTTGCCCCCGGACGCTATCAATGCCCCCGGACATGCCACATTATCTGTATAACCTGTACCATACTTACTTGACATATAAAAAAGAAGGCATACCTTTATTTCGCCGAAGTTACGGTAATCAATAACTCTTAACAAGGAATCCTTTGGTATAAATCGGTCTTGTAGGCACCTTCCGAAAAAGCTCCATCCTCCTTGAAGAAACACATTAATGCATTTCTTTGGTAAAATAATGTGAAGGACAAGGAGGATCAACTATACCCTGCCACAGAATTGGAAGCCCTTTGTCTCAAATGGATTTATAAGCTAGTCTTTGATACCTTGGTTGTATACTCCCCACGTGCCCTAGTACCAAAGGTCCCTCAAGGGGTCCACCCTCTAATCTGGCTAGAAGGCAGGTACTGGCCCCTCCCAAAGAAGCCCCGTAAGCAAACCATGGATACTACAAAAATCGAAGGAAGGGAAGTGTGAAATAATCCTCTCTAGTGCTCATTGTTGGCAGCATGGCATAAATTACCTATCCCAGGCAAGTTTAAACCCATGGGATGAGGTCATGTGTCGGCCCCTCTTCCAGAACAGAAGAATAAGAAATCAGAGTCAGGTTCCCCCTAGCTATGAATCCACCTAGAAAAGCTGGGAGAAAAGGGGGTCCCGAGGGTCAAGGACAGCTGGGGGCTGGGGTGAAAATAAGAGCGCGTGGAAATCAAAGGAGGATTTAGAATTAACCTTCAGATTTTGTCATAAAACCTTAGAAATTAGAAATAAGTTCAAATAAAGGATATTCAACTTTTAATTCAGGAATTTGTCTTGGACTGGCTGGGGGGTGCAGGAGAGAGGAGTCTGGGAGAAGTGAAGTGGCCAGGGGGAGAAGGGATGGACATCCCCTTTAAAAGGGACTTCCACCTCTGTTTCAAGAACTGGTTTTCATTGCCTCCAGGAGCTTCTCTCAGGGACCCCAGGGACTTTGCAGATCCATTTCCCCCATCACATCTAGCATTGGTGGAGACACTGTAATTTAGTAATGTTTGTTGATGTTTGCTGCTTGATAGACCAGGCTAAATCTGGCGGCTTTTCAAAGCTGAAGAGGCATATATTTTTCTCATAGTGTCTTCACATGTTTGCTGTACCTTCCGGGTCCCTCTAGGTCTCGTAAGAAGCGAAACTGGGCAAGGCTCCCAGACTTTGTCTCATCCGGGCAGATTGTGAGGTCCCCGGCCTCGATGAAATTTGACTGGAATATCAGCCTTGGGCACTGGGCCCCTTCTTTAAAAAAAAAAAAAAAAAAAGACCAATGAAAGGCTCCACGAGATAATAGCGACAATCCTTCTGGAAAGGTGGTGATCTTGATGGAGGGGTCAACTTCTGAGAGGACTAGGTAGGCTAGACGGGAATGGAAGGAAAAATAGGTAGGGTGCAAATCGTGGCAGAGAAGTGAATCGTGGCAGAGGAAGCGATTATGGTGGAACCCTGGCACATCCAGGAGGGGGGAAGACGGTAGTCTTCCCCCGAACACAACGCGCCCTTATTTTGGCTGTAAGTGGCCGGAAATATAGCTCGTATACATTCATTTTTAGGGTGCGTTATGTTCGGGGGAAGTCGTTAGTTGAGCAACCGCATTTTACCCTGTTCTCATCGATTGGTAACAAGAGGGCCTGGAGAGTGAGAGGGTTTTTCAGGGATGAGAAGGTTTTGTCTTCCACGAGGGGAAACAAACGAAAGATCTTCCCTTTCACCCCCAAGAATGGAAATGGAACAGAAAAGGAGGAAAGAACAGGGAATGATCCACCGTAGGGCTTTCCAAAATGACAGTTAAATCATTTCTCTAAAATCCTTTTCAGAGAGAAGGCTCTGGTTGGCCAAGCGACCGGCTGTGTTAGGCACCTTATCATTGAAAAGAAGAACCTTCAAGGAATTTGGTTTTGCTTTGATCACGAAAGTAAACAGGCAAGGTCAGCGGCCCTGCAATGGCAGATAACACATAGGTGCCTACCCACTAGGGAGTGGGTGGTGGACCACTTGCACCTGGAACAGAGAGGTATCTTATCTCCTGGTGCAAGAGCTGCCAATCTAGCTTCCCACACACTAAGTTTGGAGAAACAATAGAGCACCTCTTCCTTTCCTTCCCCAGGGACAGTTCTCCTGTGGAGATGGTGGGACAAAATCTGGAGATGGTTAACAGGGGACCCGAGAAGGGGCTCGGAGGGGGGGGGGGGGGGGGGGGGGCTAACTGGTTTGGTATGGCTAGGAAGGTGGTACTGTGGTGTATTTGGAGTACACGATGCACTCACAAATGGGAGGATGTTATGCTGGCAGGAGGAGAGGTGAAGAGGCATATGAAAAGATTATGAATTTCATCCAAACGAATATCGTGATGGAATGCCAACTGACGATAAAGAAAATCAAACACTTCAGTGAACGCAACGATAAAGAAGCCAAGATAAAAGACTTCGGAATGGAATGGCTGAACAACCCAGAGCCTAGGTTGATTGCAAGGATTGACTGATTGGACAACTGTTGAATCTTCCCACTGAGACCTGCTTCGGATTTCGCAGACCCCTTTCCTCCTGCGGAAAACTGTTTTCTGGACCTTGCTTGGTATGGAAGGGGGTAATTATGGTGGTTACTGGCTTTCTCATGGAAAATCTGCTAGGCCATCAAGTTCCTTTCTGTCGGTTTGAAGCGCGACTCATTACATTCACCCTCTAGGGTTGTGTCACGACCTTGGCCGAAGCATCATGGTCAGCCTCGGAGGCCGTGTCATGACCCCGACAGCCAACCTCTTGGGTCATGTCATAGGTGCAAGCCAACAAGGCCTGGTCGATGAAGGTGACTGGTGTGATTGATGTGACCCAAAGCTCAATAGAAAAAGGGCTGATGGTACCGAGGACAGAAACGGCATTAGACTTGCCGGTCAGATCAGTCAAAAAGAGGCCCAATTGGGTGCATAGAGGGGTTCATGGACACACACAAGCCCACACAAAAAAAACACAGCTAGGTGATATTATCTGGGCTGGGTGGTATCAGGGTGGTACCATGTGGGTAGGGTCATACTATGTGGACTGGACGGTGCTAACAAACACACGGCCACAACAACAACAGCAAAAAAAAAAAAAAAAAAAAGCACCCACAAAGGGAAACACACACACGCACACAGCCTGGCCAACAAAACCCACAGCTTGGGGCGGGGTGGTACCATGTGGGGATGGGTCATACTATGTGGGCTGGATTGTACTAACAAACACCCCGCCACAACAAAAAAAAGAAAAAAAAAAAGAGAGAAACACAGTTTAACACACCCACAAAGGGAAACACACACACACACCCTGGCGAACATAACCCACAGCTCGGGGCGGGGTGGTACCATGTGGGGTGGGTCATACCATGTGGACTGGATGGTAGGAACAAACACCCGGCCACAAAACAAAAAAAAAAAAAAAAACAAAAAAAAAAAAAACCCAAAAAAACAAAAAAAAAAAAAACGAAGAAAGCAAGAAACGGCCATGTGCCTGACTGAACTGCTAGAAAAAGCCAGCCCGAGTTTCAAACTGCTAAAACGCAGTTTCAAATGCAATTGAAACTCGGGCCCTGACTAAACTGCTAAAACGCAGTTCCAAATGCAATTACAAACTGTAACCCTGACTGCGCCGTAGTTTTCTCTCTTCTTTTTTGGCTGGTGCCGCCAGCCATTTTGTCTGGAAGCCCCGAGCCATGGAAGTTTCCGAGTTGGCAACTCATGATTTTCTACAAGNTCTCTCTCTCTCTCTCTCTCTCTCTCTCTCTCTCTCTCTCTCTCTCTCTCTCTCTCTCTCTCTCTGAAAGAAGAAGAAGAAGAGGAAGAAGAAGAGGAAGGAAGGGGGAGGACAAAGAAGAAGAAGATGACGTCATCCTCCTCGCTGTCCTCACCTGCGGAGGTGGCTGCCGCTGTGTCGCAGGTCGCCGGCGCGGTGCTCGGCTATGGCACCAGGTATGTATGCCGCTGCAGGATGGCCTCCGCCCCTCGCCCTACCTACACCTCTACTCCCTAGCGCAGCGCCACGTCGCTCTGCTTCAGCAGCGTGTCGCCCAAGAAGTGAGCTACTCGAACTGTGTGTCTGCCCTGGCCCGGCCCAGCTATAAGTAGTGCTGGGCCTCGCTGGTGTGCCTCTGGTGCTTGGCCTGAAACGGCCTGCCTGGGTCCCTACCGGACGTCCTGGACGAGGTCTAGCAAGTGTCCGCTACTGGACGAACATGAACCTGCCCGAAAAGGCCTGACTGCAAACGAAGAAGACCCAAAACATGGCCTTTGTCCGAACAGACCGAAAGTCTGTTCGGACGAACTACAAGTCCGAAACGACGCCTGAACACGAAAAATAGGACAGCAAACAAATAAATAAATGCTGCCTCAAATTGAATCCTGCGGGCCTCAGGTCGGCCGTGGGCCTCCAGGGTGCATGTCTGAATGTCGTGCGACCTGGGGGGCCCCATCAACTGTTGGGCCCCCGGCAACGGGACCCGTGTGCAGGCTCAGAATGGAACACACACACACACACCTGTCTCTTATACACAACCCCCGGCACCAAAAAAAAAAAAAAAAAAAAAACAAAAAAAAAAAAACCTGGACTGGGGGAAGAAGAAAAGGGAGGGGCAGCTACTTGCAAAATGCTTGGTCTTTGTGTCAGCCGACCCCCATGGGCAGCCCCACCTTACTCCCTGACTGCCGCTGTTAGTGCATGGGACAACATGCAAACCCTTCATCGAAGGTAGCTATGCTTGTGGGGTTCCCCCCTTTATAGCCTTAGGAGTAGTGGTAGGTGGGTAGTGAAAGGTGAATTTTAGAGAGGAATATAGCTTATAAAAAAAAACAAAAAAAATATGCACACACACACCTCCGCCAATCTAAGCCACAACTCACATTCCATCCCGTGACCTTAGATTTGCTGTTCATTCATATGACCGTGCTCTGTGCATGTATTTGGACAGGGGGCGCCCCTTTTGCTGTTCATCCATATGACCAAGCTCTGTGCATGTATTTGAAAGGGAGGTGTCACTTGGGTCGACTACTACTTGGATGCCCCGTTGCATAGAAACAAAAGGCTACGAGCCAGCTGTATTCCCACATTTCGAAACAACAAATGATGAAAAACTTGAAAAAGGCAAAAACTGAACTGTCGGTTCTTTTTTTTTAATTAAGGGCTGGTAGCCCTGTGGACTCTTGAAATGTTTTCTGAGATGTATCCCTGAAATGTTTCTATTGTAATTCTATACGGGACGCTGGGCCAGGTTCCAGCCACGTGCTGCTCTCCACGAATAGAACGGAGCATCCGTCGTCGGCTCAAACCTCAGAACAGCAAAACCCGAAACAGAACCTCAAAAGGAGGAAAAACAATGTGTACACGAGGAGACGAAAAACGAAACTTGCCCCACACCAGCCACAAAACCACAAAGGGAAAAGGGTGAGGGACAGTGTTACGTGAGACCATCTATTCCCTTTCAAGTTATTGGGAAGAAATCTTTAAGAGAAACAAATAAAAGGATACCTCCCAGACGTATTCCCAGATTTAGGAACCAATAAACCACAAAAAAAGGCAGAACCGACCTGTTGTCTCAAAGCTCAGAACAGCAAAAGCCGAAACAGAACCTCAAAACGACCACCCTTCCCAACAGCAACAAAAAAACACAACAACGCACACGAGCAGACGAAAAACAAAACTTGCCGCACACCAACCACAAAACCACACAGGCAAAAGGGTCTCGCAGGTCCTGCATTACACGGGACCCTTGATTCGCTTTCAAGTTAGTGGGAAGAAATCTTTACGAAAAACAAAAGAATAATTCATTTGGTGAAGAGGTCACCGCCACGAAAATGTAATTGCAACAAGGGGAAGTACAGGGAAGAGATGATAAATGCATGAAAGCAGACTCCCATCTTTGTCTAGGGATTACCGACGGAATCGTGTAACTGCATGTCATGTTACCGTGTATGCTTCCAAAATGCAGCGTTGCACAAATCTGGCAACAAGTTCCAACAACTTATGAAGGGGTGTCAGGGAGGCACAGGGATGATGGCTACCTCCTTGATTCCTAGTCTCATCAGCATCTTGGTGAGCACAGCACGATGGACTTCGCCTGTATCAACCAACAGAACGCGGATGTCCACAAGTTCAGCACTAGACCTCCGGTGCTCTGTCGTTTCCCCTGTCTCCATCACAGTTAGGTCGGCCTCTGCCCCACTTGCGGCTTCACTAATCTCTGCATAACCCCCCAACTACATCCACACCCATCACAGACGGAAAAGCACACCCGTTCCAAAAATCATGGGGTACCCATCAAAATCTCAGAACATTTGAACGGTGAACAACAAAGAGCGATGATCAGAGACTTATCTTCCCCCGTTTCCTTAAGGACAGCTAGACTCCGATAGAGAAAGTGGGTCAGACTTGGATGATGAACTGAAGAAAAGACAACAACAAAAACCATTCCCAAAAAAGCAAATGCAGCATTCACATTGGGAAAGGTTGAATGCATTGCATACTTAAGCTGACCATGGAATTGCACCTCATGCATGCCAGTCGTAGGTCCCAGAACGAAGCTTCTTCTTTTCTTTGGAGAAAAGACTCAGATTGTAGTTCCCAGGATGGAATTGGACCTGGATGCATGGGGTCTCATTCATAGGGGTATGACCGTGCTTTTGCAATAACGACTTGCCCTATGCTGGTCTGCGGTGCAGCAAAATTCGCTGCAAACGCTTAATGGTTTGCGCGAAAAAAAAAAGAAGAGGGAACCACACTTTTATGGATTCTTTGCACATGTCTGGCTATACCAATGCTACTTCCAATTTCTCATGGGACAGCTGACGAGCTTCACAGATATCTGTACCAAAACTGCCGACCTCAAAGCTGCAATGACTTCCTTGACATGGCGTATTCTTACTACGGGCCATCCCCTCAGTGTCAAAAAACTTCAATCTGCACGAGAAGCCGTATGAAATCAAAGTTTCATGTACGGTTTTGCAAAGTGGTAGGTTAGACAACTAATTTGCCCTGGCCAGGGGTTGGGCTGCCTATGTGCATGGCCGGCAATGTCAGCTGCCCACTCATGTTTTGCGGCTTATGAACTGCTTTCACTGCATGGTTTGGTCGTCACTTGCCCATCTACTGCTGAATCTCAATTTCTGAGGACAGGCAGCATCGGTCCCCACGGGCCACAGCCACACACGCGCCTGCACTCCCTAGTTACTACCAAAGGGGCAGGTCCCACCACTACTCTGCATGGTCCCACCACCACTGCTGAATCTCAGTTCTGGGCACAGGCAGCATCAGTCCCTCATGCGGCCCCAAATTCTTCTTTTCTTTTCTTTTTTTCTTTTTTCGTTTTTCTTTTTTTTTCCCCCAAATAAAACAGGTCCTTATGGTCCTGGCTCCGTTTCCATTCTGGGGAGCATCAGTCCGGTTCCTATTCCCCCGGCAAGTCAAGAATGAATACATCAATATACATGCTCACGCTTCCTTCCGTATGGCCGAAGGACCCCTCACCAGCATTGATTACTCCTTGAAGGAGGATTGACTGTCAGCTTGCCTGTCCCTTAGTTCCCTCTCAGATTCCATATTGAAAACTGCCAGATACTGCAATTAAGGCAAGGAGAAGGGAGATAAGCTGCTGATTGGATCCTGGTCCACCTCTTATGCCTCTGGAGTCCCCCATTGGTACATTCTGCAGGTCACTGAGTGTTTCCCCCGACAGCAGACAGCCGCTTGGTGAGTGGTTCCCAGGGGGTCTCGCGTACCCCTGAGATCTTGTTGTTCCTTCTGGAAGGAGCCCCTCGTTCCTCAGGGGGTAGCTGAATTGTGCCAGTCTTTCCGTCTGATTTGTAGGGCGTGAATGTCCGCACACCCTCCTGAAGTTAGCTATCATTTCCTGTCGTTTGTCCGGGTCCTGCTGAATTTGAAGCTTGACCTTCTTCCATTGGCAGCGGATGTCAGTCTCCATGAGGATTTTCGTTGATGCCCATACTTGTTCCGACGGCATGCTAAAGTTGTCAATGGTCCGACTGCACCTCTCCTTTCATTTGACCCACAGTGTCACCTTTCTGATTATCCCGAACCAGATGTGCTCCGACTTGTTGAATTGGGAGGGGAGGTTAGTCCATAGGAGTAGCTGGATGGGAAGTTCAGGTAAGGGAGAAGGAAATAGGTGGTCCCAGAGAGCTGCGGCTCTCGCCCATATGTCAGTAGCAAGGCTGCAAGTTATCAGACAGTGTAGCATGTCCTCTTGTTCGTTATCAGAGCATATGGCGCATTGTTCTGAACTGTTAGGGTCACTGTTTCGCCTGCGGACGTGCAACCATGTGTTCACTGGGATGGCATTGTAGGTGATCAACCATTGAAGACTTCTGATTTTGACTGGGCGAATTGATTTGTATTTCCTCAAGGGGAATTTGGGGATTGGTTCCATTCTCTGACCTAGCAATTTGGTCCATCTTTCCTTGATAACCGGCTCCAGGTCCTTCGTTTTTAGTAGCATCCTATATCCCATTTTGACTGTGTACTGCGTTATCGAGATGGGTGTTTTGCAAAATCTATTGCTACTCTAGAGCCAAGCCCATTCTTCTGGGTCGAATTCTAGGTTCTGGATTGGTGTTTCGGCTTGGGATATTGTTTTTGGCCACGTACCCAAAACTCTTATTTTTCGAAGTGTGTATGAATTGAGGGTTGCTTCTTGTGGGTCAACGTTGTTGATGGCGAGAGTTTTGGGATTGGAGCGGTCTATAGGGAAGGAGGTGAAAACTGCCGATAGGTCAGCACCCAAGGATCTGCGATAGGATTGATAAGCTTTCTCCTGTATGGCTTCCTGAATTAAAGCACCAGTACATGGGCACCTGGGCCGCGGGCCTGACACCTCAAATTCTGAAGGCGCGAAACGGAACCGCGACCGCCGATCTAATTTATCAACGGCGGGCGCAGCGTTTGACGTTTCGGCCTCGTTTTCTTGTGGCGACAAGTTTTGGACTGCAAGGCTGGGGCCGTGTGCTGGTGGTTTAAGACTCCCCATTCCCCTGCTTTCCATGTGAATTCTTCCTTTAGAAGATCTTTCCAGCCATCTGGGATGCTATTCACCACAGTAGTCAGATTTTTGTCTCTGTTGTGGCATCCTTTCAGGCGTTGCCTCAATTGATCTTCATCTATCCATTCTTTCCTCTCTTCGTCCCATATGTGTGCTACCCTTCAGATTCCATGTTTAACCCATGAAAGCCATCGCTGTCGTTAGATAGGGACAGGGGTAAGTCCCCCGCGTCTCTTATGCATTGGTTTCCGGAAAGGGGCTGTTGTAAGACCTCTTCTTTAGACTTTGGTTTTCGTACTTTTTTCGACATGATGCTTCTCCAGATCCGGATGAGCGCCGACCAGTAGGGGGTTGGAGAGGTGACTCCACTTTGTTGTGAAGTCGGCCTCCGCCTTCTCCTTCCTGTCTTGGGAGACCAGTCCTTATTCATGACCCATAATAGTCCAGACATATTCACCGGTGACTGGACTGGGGCTATGGCTCGTACACTATCAAGTGCAAGCTTGTGCCAGGCCAGCCTTGGTTGAGTTAGCAGTTTAATTATCCATTTCATATGAAGGGCTTTTGTTTCCTGTTTGGGGTCAATTATACCTAGCCCTCCTTTAGAAGGTTCCTCGTTATGAAGTGCCATGCTATTTTGGGGATGTATCTGGTTTTGTTAGGGTCCCCTGACCATAGATATGCTCGTGCTCTGCTGTTAAGTTTTTTGATCGTGTGGTCAGGTATCGTCCAGATGGAGGCGATGTACCACATCATCGAAAAGATGGAGGTGTTCAGCGTTAGGGCTCTCCCTAGCAGGGAGGTGTATTGGTCCCCCCATGGCCCCATTCTGTTGATTTGCTTAGTTAACAGGTTTTGAGCCATTTGCGAGGCTGGGCCTTCCTTGGAAACCATGATACCCAGGTACCTAGCTGGTTCCTTGGGTTGTTCCCATGTCATGTCCGCTTCCAGTCCCTCCAGCTGGGGTCTCTCCTCTTCTGTGAGCCACCATCCTATGTTTTTTTTCTCCAGTTGATCTTCATTTCTGAGGCTAGCCTGAATGCTTCCATCGCTCTTACTAATGCTTTGATTGACGAATCAAAGGCCCTGATTAGGACAGTGAGGTCATCCGTGAACATTTTTACTGTTGGGAATTGAATATGCTATGATGTGCCCGTGTCAAGGTCTGGTAAACGTTGAATTGATGGGTCTTTAGTACTCTTTACGCAAAAAGGAGGCAATGACTTCCATCACAAATAAAAATATAGGTGGAGCGAGAGGATCGCCCTGTCGTACTGAGCGAGAAATTGGATATCTTACGGATAACAGTCCGTTGATTTGGACACAACCAGATGCGTCGCTATAGAGGATCCTTACCCACTTTCTAAAGTTATGTCCAACCCCCATTTTTTCCACGCTCACGTTAAGGAATGCCCAATTGACTTGGTCGTATGCCGTCTCAAAATCAAAGAACAATATCGCTGTATTCAATCTCTTCTCTCTTACTTTTCGGAAGGCCTCGTTCAACATAAGGATATTGTCCAGAATGTACCTGCCTGGGATGAATCCAGCTTGGTCTATATGGAAGCACTGTAAGTAAAGAATTCTGAGGGTCAATGCTTTTGCTAGAATCTTGTAGGGGAGAGTACGAAGAGAGATAGGCCTGTAGTTTCAAACGTCTTCACGGTCCCCTTTTTAATAAAGTAGGGTCACCGCGCTGCTACTCAGAAATTCGCCCATACCTCCCTTTTCCCAACTCTCTTGGTAGAACTGTAGGAGGTCATTCCCCATGACTGGCCAGAACAGGTCCCAAAATTCTTTGGTGAGTCCGTCTATGCCTGGGCACTTGTCATTGTTCATGCTTCTGATGTTGTTTTTAGTTCTTCAAGGGTAATTGGTCTGTCCAACGATGCAGCCTGTTCTGTTGTAACTGTTTTGTCCAAATATTGAAGCATTTTTTACCTTGCCTCTCTTACTCTTGTGGGGGGGGGAGAGAGGGTTTTCTTCTGGTACAACTCCTGGTAAAACCCTTTGGCTATTTGTAGCATCCCTTCACTGTCTGTTATGGTGCTTTGTTCGTTTGTGCATTCTTTTAGACCTTCTATCGTGTTGGATCTGTTGTTTGTTATTTTGGCAAAAAAATGTTTGCTCATTGATTCATTTAATTCATAGTCCGTCATTTTTGCCCTTATCTGGAGACCTCTCAGGTCCCACATTCTCTATAAT